CCTAATAGCCAATGATTGCCACCAGAAATTTGAGGAAGCTGTTTTCTAATCAAAATGCTCAGAATGGTGAATAGCCTCATATTTGCAGTACATATAGTATGTTTTGATCATACAAACAACGTTTCAGCTAGTAGCTATCATACCACAGTATGTTACCTCACTGTGGGAGCAACGTAATGTAAAGCAATGTCTAGTGTCTACAACAAGAATGCCGTCCATATGGGCATAGTGACCTGGTAAAGTGGCTGAACCCTTTTTAAGGGAAAAAGCTCATACAAATGTTTAGCATTTTAGATGAATTCTATTGTTTTTCAAGTGCCCTAGTTCTGATCCTCCTATCATTCAATATTTATGTCCAGCTTCAGGCCTATTGTGGATTAGATTAGATGAGTTTATTACAGCGTCAGAGGGAATGTCCATAGGGGAGCAGCAGGAGGGGAATGAAACAATAATAAATAATTTTGCCATGATGCTCCTATACTGCGTGATGGAAGTGATGGAAGCGGGGAGAACAGGCCGTGGCTTGGGTGGCTGAGGTCCTTGATGATCTTCTTTGCCTTCCTATGACTTCTGGTGTTGTAGGTGTCCTGGAGGGCAGGCAGTGTGCACCCAATGGTGCGTTCGGCTGAGCGAACCACCCTCTGTAGAGCCTTGCGGTCAGCGGAGGTGGAGTTGCCGTACCAGGCTGTGATGCAGCCTAACAGTATGCTCTCGATGGTGCTCCTGTAGAACACTATGAGGGCCCTCAGGGACAGGCCAAATTTCTTCAGCCTCCTGAGGTTGAAGCGTCGCTGTCGTGCCTTCTTCACCACAGTGTCTGTGTGGTTTGACCATTTCAGCTCCTCTGATGTGTACGGCGAGGAACTTGAAGTGTTTGACCGTCTCCACGGCGACCCCGTTGATGAGGATGGGGGTGTGCCCATCCTGGTTCCTCCTAAAGTCCACAATCAGCTACTTTGTTTTGCTGACGTTGAGGGAGAGGTTGTTTATCTGGCACCACGCCGTCAGAGTGCCTACCTCCTCTCTGTAGGCCATCATTGTTGGTTGTCAGGCCTATTATTGGGGCCGGCCCATCAGGAAGTCCAGGACTCAGTTGCATAGGGAGGAGTTCAGTCCCAGGGCCATGAGCTTTGTGGTGAGCTTAGAGGGCACTATGGTATTGAAGAACACGCTGTAGTCAATGAACAGCATCCTCACATATGCATTCATTTTGTCCAGGTGGGTGAGGACAGTGTGCAATGCAGTGTGCAGTATAATCCGTGATCGTTAGAAGCCCCTGCCACATACGCCTCGTGTTCGACCCACTGAATTGCTCCTCCACTTTGTCCCTATACTTGTGTCAAGCATTTCGCTACACCCACAATAACATCTGCTAAATATGTGTATGTGATCAATAACATTTTATTTTATTTGATCAATCTGCATAGATCGTATTTGTACTGTTTAACCATACAATTGTCCCCGGTCACCTTGCCGTGTTTATAAGCAGCCTCTCTCTTCTTCAGTTTCCCTACAAGGCTCCCCGGTTTTTGATTCGGGTAAGTTTTGAAAGACACCATCAGTTTCACATCCTCTATGCATTTTTTTTTTAATCCAGTGACTGAGTCAGCGTATTCATTGATGTTATCCCCAGAGGCGCCCCGGAACATATTCCAGTCCACGTGATCAAAACAGGCTTGGAGCATGGATTCTAATTGGTCAGACCAGCGTTGTACAGACCTGACTACCGGAACTTCCCTCTTGAGTCTTTGTTTGTAGGTTGAGAGGAGCAAAATGGAGTCGTGGTCAGATTTGCCGAAAAGAGGACGGGAGAGGACCTTATACCCATGTCGAAAAGGCGTATAGCGGTGGTCAAGAGTGGAATTTCCGCTAGTTGGACAGTCAATGTGTTGATAGTAATTTGGGAGCACGGACCTCAAACTTTTGTTAAAGTCCCCCGTGACAATGAACGCTGCCTCCGGGTACGAGGTCTCCAGTTTGTTCTGGGTCCAATGAAGATCTTTGAGAGCTTTTTTGGTGTCGGCTTGGGGTGGGATGTACACAGCCGTGGCGATAATCCATGAGAACTCTCTCGGAAGGTAAAAAGGGCGACATTTGATGACCAATTATTTCCAAGTCGGGAGAGCAGAAGCTTGCAAGTTTCCCCCATCGCACCACTTGTTACTGGTCATGAAGCAGACACCACCACCTTTCTTCTTGCCAGAGAGAGCTCGCTTCCTGTCCGCTCGATAAACTGTAAAAACCGCTGGTTGTATATAATCCATTTGGATGTCGAAGGAAAACAAAGTACGTTGAAGAATCTGATGTCCTTCTGAAAGGAGATGCTTGCTCTGAGTTTGTCAAGTTTATTCGCAAACGATTGTACTGCCAACATGAGATCTTATTCTCAATCCAAGATCCAAGAACTTGTTTCCACAAGTGAAAAGTGATTCATTGATATTCTCTGGATTGAAGCTTAAAATCAATTCATCAAGAGAGTCTCTTTCTATTCAGGTTATTATTATGACAACTTATCTAGTTTTCATTATAATGAAACGTTATCCAGTGACTAAAAATAACGAGTGGCTAAAAGTGTGACTGTGGTCGCCAGTAATGCTATCTCAAGCAGAATCTTCACAGGTGTGTTCTCTGATTACCGCAGCGCTATCAGTCTGGAAAGGATACCATTGAAGCTGTTTTGCCCGAGGGGCGTTGCACAAAATATATTCTAAAGCGATTGGATCATCTTCAACCAGTCACAGCGCCGCATTTTGCGAAAGTAAAACAAGCACTTGCCTTCTTTCCAGAGAAAGTTATATCGAGCACCAGCCCTGCCCATCTCAATCAGTACTATAGTGGTGATGCTTTGCCAGGCTGGGCTGGCTCTTATGGATGGTCTCTTTGTTTGGCTGGATGGTCTGTGCTCGGCTGACCAGAATAATGACTATGCAGCAGAGCAGAGCAATGTAGCACAGAGTAGAGCAGAGTAGAGCAGGGCAGAGCAGAGCAGAACAGAGTAGGGCAGAGTAGAGCAGAGTAGAGCAGGGCAGAGCAGAACAGAGTAGGGCAGAGTAGAGCAGTACCAGTACACAGACCAGCGGTGGCGTGGTGGGATAACCCTGACTGCAGCATCGCACAGCCACCAAGCCTCTGTCTCCCTCTGCCTACTGCACACACACAGATCACCGGCTATAAAAAGACAAGGGCTGCATGCCTTACGTAACTGCAAAAAAGTCCCAGCCATCAATATTGCATTAGGGAGAGGAGGATGGAGAGGGAGGGAGGGAGATAGGGGGGTGGAGGGAGGGTGGGAGGGAGGGAGAGAGGGAGAAGAGAGAGAGAGATAGGGAGAGATGGAGAGAGAGAAAGAGAGGGAGAGGCAGCAAAACAGAGAGTCTGGTAGGGGGAGAGAGGGAGGGATGAAAAACAAAGATGGTGATTGAGGGAGAAGGTTGTGCGATGAGGATACAGAGGCCAGTAGAGGCCAGTCCCTCACTGTACTGTCCCTCCACACACCAACCCGCCTGCCCGGTCATCTGTAAATAACCCATTAACAGACTTCTGAATGGGGATGTATGTGTTGAGTAAGGGAATGTGAGGGGTGCAGACAGACAAGCAGTATACTAACGACTTCCACCATTTGTCAACCAAAAACACCTGTGTTATCAAGGAAGGAGGAACAGTGTCTCTACAACAACCTTACACTGCAGGGTGGCAACTTAGCTAGCAGTCCTTGGAATCTCCAACCGAGAAACCAAAGTAAGAAGGACCAACACAGAACAGTACAGTCTCTGAACTAGGCCAAACTAACTCTCAACTGAATGAGCAAACTAGCCAGAAAACGTGCCAACTTTTTCCTGACATGGACAATATCTCAACAACTGTGAGAGGCAAAGTAAAATAAATCTTGAACATTACAAAAACCTGTGGCAAACATTTGTACCAAATGAGGAAAGAAAGAAATACTGGATTTCACGTCATATTATTCCACTGAGGAGAAATCTAAATATGCAATAATGGAAATGTGACTCACCTATTTAGCATCATCATCATCAGAGCCATCATCAGGAGATGCAGTACATGTGGGTGAGAGAAAAGACAAAACATAGCTGTCAGTCATTTCAGTTCGCTTAATCATGCAAACATTTACATGACAACTTGCACATCGAGCAATTTTTTATTTTATTTTTTATCTCCAATGAAAAATTGCCTTAAAGTAAAATGTGCGTGTGTTTTAAAAAGGTCAAATTGCATAACTAAGAATTCCAGCCAGGAACATTTTGAGATGTTCAAAATGGTTCTGAAAGTGAATTCACATACACAAGTAGAAAGAGAATGTGAAAGAAAAGCAGTTAGTGACTCCTCAGTCAGCTCATGGCTATTTGAGGAATTAAAAGCATAATTTAGTCAGGGAGAAAGCAGTCTCTTGAAAGAAAGAGAGAGAATCACACTACAAACCAACATCCCTTTGATTAGAGAAGAAAGGTTGAGTCAATGTCAAAGAGTTAGGGTGTATAATTACTCATTGCAATTTAGGATAATGCCATTCAGGGGGGAGAAAGCTAGCTAATTCTATCCCAAGGAGAGTGGAGTCACTCAAGAGTCACACACACAGTAATCTACAGAGCAAGTAGAGTAATTAGTATATGATTACAGTGTTAGAAAGGAGAGAGATAGGAGGTAAAACGAGCTGGGCTGGGCAGCTGACACAATCAGGTAAGTAGACAGACACATAGCAATGAATGTGTTATTATCATGATCATCATCATCATCATAACAGCACTACAGAGACAGGCCAGACAGTCAGTCAGGATAGAGGGACTCAAGGCCCAGCCATTAGGGACTCAGTCAGACGCAGTCAGATTAAAGAATAGTGGTAATTAGTTAGCATGTTACTAATAGTGCTATTAAACACATAATGGCCGAGCAACAGCAGGCCCAGTCCACAGAGAGAGCCATGCACTATAATGTCATCATTCACCCGCATACTGATAGATAGATATGTCCCCTCTTCAGTGTCACCAACCTTCCAGCAGGGGGGACTCTGGCAGCGGTGGCTCCTGGTGCTCTGTGAGTGGCAGTGCGGTGGGGATAAAGGGCAGGGCTGCAGGGTTGAGGCCTGAGCCCACTGCAGGGCGGGGACTGGGAGTGTCGTGATCAGGCTGGGAGGAGTGGCTAAACAGTGGAGGAGGAGTGCTCTGGAAAGAAGAGGTGGTGGTGTTTGGAGGAGGGCCCTGGGGTGTGGTGGTCTGAGACTGGGCCTGTGGCTGTGAAGCAGGAGTGCTGGCTGGGGGGGTCTGCAGGACAGAGTCTAGGAAAGAGAAGGTCTGTGAGACCTGGGGGCTGAAGCCTGGGGAGCTCTGAGTGCCCAGCTGCCTCTGGTCAGTAATAGATGCGTTGGCCTCAGGACGGCCATGATCAGAGGAGGCTTTGTCAGTAAAGGACAGAGCTGCCTCCTCCTTCTTGGGGGCTAGGACATCTTTAGTGGCTAAGGGAGGGGGCATTTTAAAGTCATCAATACACATGGGTTCATAATGGAGGGGAACAGAGGCAGTGTTTTTAATGGGAGCCTCAGCCTCCCAGTCCACATTGAGCTTGGCTGGAGAAGGTTGCTCAAACATGTTCAAGTTACTAGTGGAAGTGTCTGTAAGGGCAGGGTCCTTGTTGAGGATGTGACTGGGCTTGGGGTTCTCAGTGAGGGGTGGGACAGTGGAGGTGAGAGAGAGTTTGGTGTCCTCTATAAAACTGCTAAAGGGGTTAGTCTGGGGGTCGGCTATGAGGGAGGAGATGTTCTCTAGGGTTGAACTTAAGGGACCAGAGGCCATCACCATTGCAGACACCGAGGCTGGGGTGGCATGGGGTGTCATGGGCTCCTGGGGTGTTGGCCCCCACTCCTCTGGCAGCTTCATCCTGCTCTTATTCTTCCTGCCCCTAACCCCACCCCTCCCTCGGATCTCACACTCCCAGCTCTCCTCCTTGCTCGGGGAGGACGGGCTCAGAGGGCAGTCCGAGGCTCCGCTCTCTGTCTCGCCTTGCTCCTCCTTCGAGTCCGGAGCCTGCTGCCTGTCCATGAAGTCATACACCTCCTCCCTGGACCTCCTTTTCTTTTTCTTCCTCTTCTGCTGCTTGCTGCTGCTGTTGACCCCCTCGGTCCCACTCTCGTCCCCAAGGCCAGTCTCCTGGCTGTGGGAGCCGTGGGGGCTGAGGGGGTCGGAGTTGGGGCTCTCCTCCACTGAGTCGCTGGGGGAGAGGGTGAGACCCTCTGAGGCTTGCAGCCCAGACTCACTACCTGCCCAGGGGTTTGGGTTTGTCCAAACTTTTTGATGAGCAGAGAGGAGGAAGGAATGTCACTACTCATTGTAAAGAAGACCAACAACCAATTGGCAATCATCTCCCAAACAATCTGGGTATATCTTATCTGCTCATAGAAATTCATACCTACATTTATGAAACTCAACGACAGAGTAGAAAATTATATTTTAAACTACAAATAAAAACTATTCAATAAATCAAATTGTGACTTGAGTTTTGAATTTCTGTAAGTTACTTGAAACGGTGCCTGAGGAAGGCCCGTAGCATCATCAAGGACCCCACACACCCCAACCACGAGCTATTCACTCCCTTACTGTTGGGCAGACAGTATTGTCATGACTGTCCTGTTGTGGTGTAAATGGGCAGATCAGGTTTACAATGGATAAACTTCTACCAGACCCCTCTCACCCGCAGAGGGGAGGAGGGAACTGATGTGGGGTCTTTGACACCTCACGCCCTGTCGAAAGTTTAAGCAGGAGAGGACTCTCTCTTTACCCTCTAGTATTGGTGAAAGGAATGTTCCTTTGTCTAACAGACTTTTCCCGCCTAAATTCTAATGTTCAAATTATGAATACTGAAACAATATTTATAACATATGAACGTGGGTAATGGTCAGAGGAGGTCTATAGAACAATATTGTCAATTGGGTTCCTATTTTGTGATGTCATTAAAAATGGTATGAAGGAAATACTGTAACTTGAAAAGTATACACACTATATATGTCAAGTTTTCATCCTTTACGTTGTTTATGAAATATGAAGACTGATGAAAGTGTTTTTGTTAAGATAGGAATGTGATTTATAGTTTTTGATAATACTTTGCACAAGTAAGTAGCCACGCCCCGAGGGAGATCAGTGAGCGTGTCAGCATGACAGAGCGACCCTTTTAACCAGAGTGTATAAAAGGATGGGTTAAGAATTAACATATCAGACCAGAAAGCATGAAGCGGTCGCTACACACTTGAAATGGTTGGAACTTTGAACCTCAACACGAGGTAAAGAAGATAACCTCACCTCCCAGACTCGAACATTGCCAGGCTGCAGCTGTGCGTGTAAAGTGGTTCAAACTCTGACTATCAACACGAGGTGGAGAGAGGAGAAAACTCCCCTCTCAGACAATCACTTGTACAGCTAAGAAGAAGGACATTGTGACCTCTTGTGGACAATCAGAGCCTTACATTCGAGGAGACACAGCCAAACCCTTTCCAAGAAGGCTTGGTGTCGACAGAGATAAACTGAGAACTAAGGCATTCACACGTAATTACATTCATGATTTCTTACTCCAAACGGGCGGTGGTTCGTGTGCAAAGTATTATGATTACTGTGAGAGTAGTTTCCAAATGTATCCAAGTGTCTCTCTTTGTCTCTCTCTTTCTCTCTACCCCACCCTCTTTTGTAACAAGCCGTCGTGTTGTTGTTAGTCCGCTGGGACCTTTTTCTCATGTATTAAGTGTGTATGTTTATTCTGTGTTATTATTTAGTTAACTAATAAATAAATACTTAAACACATTTGTGTAGTACTGAATAATGAGTAAGGCAGGGGTTTTTGCAGATCTAAGAAGTTTACGACTGTTCAGAATGATGATATGATAAGAGGAAATTATTAATAAGTGACTGTTATCGATGTAATAGATATATATACCTTCTAGAGTTTAATTCAGTTGATGGTAACTCTTTAAACAACCTCTTCCGTGGTGCCCCAAATCCTAATGAGTTAATTGTTACATGATTCATTTAATCGAGTAACAATTAAACATAGTTACATGATTCATTTAATTGAGTAACAATTAAACATAGTTAGTTGGTCTTCTGTAGCTCAATTGGTAGAGCATGGCGCTTGTAATGCCAGGGTAGTGGGTTTGATCCCCGGGACCACCCATACGTAAAAATGTATGCACACATTATTGCTTTGGATAAAAGTGTCTGCTAAATGGCATATTATTATTATTGATTTGATAAATAACAGTCATCAGATTAATGAAAGTCACGTCACGACAGTATCGCAGCATGAGGTCAGATAACAATGAACAGTTTCTATCTACAAGCCATCAGACTGCTGAACACTTGAACTGGACTGACCACCTGCACTGACTCTCCGCACCTTAGCGCACACACACACACACACACACACACACACACACACACACACACACACACACACACACACACACACACACACACACACACACACACACACACAAACACAATTGCTGCTACCACTCTTATTTACTATTGCTAATACTGCACAATTGAAACAGTTGCCCCCAAGCCCACCTTTCTCTAATACATGTGTAAATAATGTACTATAAATTGTACATTCCTGTATTATACTTATGCTAAAATGTTTATTTTCTACTGAGCCATTTACTTTATGTTCGTATTCTTATATTTTATTATTTCTTATAGTTGTTGCATTGTCGAGAAAGAACCTGCAAGTAAGCATCCTAATTAATCTTGAAACTTAAATAATATTGACACAACCGCCACTATCATTTATTTACGGCCTGGCCAGTAGGCTTATAGAATGTGACTTTTAGGCTTATGGATTACATGTTAGCCTTAAGAGAGACAGTTTTTTTGTTTGCAATGCTCTGAGCTTGCAGCTGATTGGGTGTGATTCTCTCTGGCAGGGCAGGGGGAGAATGGAGATTGGCTGAGACTGAGCAGTGTGGTGTGTACTGTATACTTGACAGCACATCGCATGAGCAGATGAGCATATGAATGAATGTACAAGTAACAAACATGCTGCAGAACAACAACAGAGGCAGGTCACATAGACAAACACAGACAAACAATGAACCCAGAGGAAGGGGTCATGTGACATGGAGAACCTAGTACAAACACACTGAGGAGGAGAATGTTAGTAGTAGACCATATTAATGCAAGAAAATCTAATCATAAAATCATAGTTCATACACACTTTAAAAACATACATACATGAATAAATGAAAGATACTGTACACACAAAAACATACATCGCATGCACTTTTTTAATTTTGTGATAAAGACATTACAGTGGGCAATCCTCTCTCCGTCCATGTTTTTCTGTTAATACTGATGGGTAGTACCACCCCAATACTTGTCATGACAGGGCAGAGAGAAATGAAAAATAATAATACCCTCCCCTCCCCAATCGTTAATGATAATGGCTTTTTCTAAATTGAGTATCCTTGCCCTCCTCTCTAATTGATTGATGTGCTATTTTCCTCAACGTCCTTTATTGATTATGTTGCCATAAAAAACACCTTTGTGCAGGAGATCCGGTAGCATTATCATCTATGTTTCATGCAATATTGGTATTTAAAAAGTAAAGAGTACATCATAGTCCAAAGCCTCAGCCTGGCCTCCTGCCTGAAGGCACATTACTCCTAGTCTATGTGGTTGCCTCACTCAGAGAGCAGTATCAAAGGTGAGGAAGGAGCTCATGATAAATCTTTTAAGAAAAATCCTCTATTCCAAATATAACTGAGCGCTTAAATTAGGCCTCAGGGAGATTATCTAAGGAAATATTTTTTATAAAGAGGGTTAGGTATCTGTCACGCCCTGGCTCTGGGGACTCTAGTATGTTGAGCCAGGGTGTGAGTTTTCATTTGTTTATGTTCTAGTTGTTGTATATCTATGTTGGCCAGGGTGGCTCCCAATCAGAGACGGCTGTAGCTCGTTGTCTCTGATTGGGAGTCATACTTAGGTAGCCGTTAGGCATTCATTATTTGTGGTTTCTTGTTCTTATTTGGTTTTTGTTAAACCGTAGACATCACGTTATCGTCTGTTGTTTTGATCGTGTGATCATTCTCTAAATAAATATGTTCACCCTCAACGCTGCGCCTTGGTCCTCCTCCTTAGACGATCGTGACAGAAGAAACCACCAAGATGTGACCAAGCAGCGTGTCCAGGAGCCATCGCCAGGGAGATCCCATCGCCTCCTCGACTGGGTCAAGCCGAGTGAGGAAGAGAAGGGCTTGACATTGTGGCAGAAGGGCGAAAGGCTGGCGAGGGACATGGAGACCTGGTCCAGGGGTAGGGGAGACGCCCAGAAATTTTTTAGGGGGGGGCTAACGCTGTGGACGACGGGCCAGCAGGAGACCGCGGCAGAGCGGCCCAGCGGATTGGCAGAGGAGGCCGCCAGGTTACGGGGGCCACTGGTCGAAGAGGGGGTGGAAGATGTAGAGGCACGGCGAGAGGTACTGGCGTGTGTTGCCAGTCCGGTCCGGCCTGTTCCTGATCCCCACGTAGGGCCAGTGGTGTGTGTTCCCAGTACGGTCCGGCCTGTTCCTGCCACTCGCACCAAGTCTACGGTGCGCATCGCCAGCTCGGCCCGGCCCATTCCTGCTCCCCGCACCAAGTCAGTGGTGCGTTTCGTCAGCCCTGTCCGGCCCGTTCCTGCTCTCCGCACCAAGTCTGTGGTGCGCGTCGCCAGCCCAGTCCGGCCCATTCCTGCTCCCCGCACCAAGTCAGTGGTGCGTTTCGTCAGCCCTGTCCGGCCCGTTCCTGCTCTCCGCACCAAGTCTGTGGTGCGCGTCGCCAGCCCAGTCCGGCCCATTCCTGCTCCCCGCACCAAGTCAGTGGTGCGTTTCGTCAGCCCTGTCCGGCCCGTTCCTGCTCCCCGCACCAAGTCAGTGGTGCGCGTCGTCAGCCCGGTCCGGCCCGCTCCTGCTCCCCGCACCAAGTCAGTGGTGCGTTTCGTCAGCCCGGCTCGGCCCGCTCCTGCTCCCCACACCAAGCCAGTGGTGTGCGTCGTCAGTCCGGCACGGCCCGTGCCTGTTCCACCGGTGGCGGGTCCGGCACCGGTCAGGTGCTGCGTCACGCCGGAGCTAGAGCAATCCGCTCCACCAGTGTTCAGTTCAGCTCCGGTCAGCAGGGCCAGACCGGACCAGGGGTACTTTGGGGGGTTAGAGAAGGAGTGGGGGTCATGTCCGGAGCCGGATCCGCCGCCGAGGCGGAGTGCCCACCCGGTCCCTCCACTGTTGTATTTGGTTGGCGCGGTCGGAGTCCGCGCCTTTAGGGGGGGGTACTGTCACGCCCTGGCTCTGGGGACTCTAGTATGTTGAGCCAGGGTGTGAGTTTTCATTTGTTTATGTTCTAGTTGTTGTATATCTATGTTGGCCAGGGTGGCTCCCAATCAGAGACGGCTGTAGCTCGTTGTCTCTGAATGGGAGTCATACTTAGGTAGCCGTTAGGCATTCATTATTTGTGGTTTCTTGTTCTTATTTGGTTTGTGTTAAACCGTAGACATCACGTTATCGTCTGTTGTTTTGATCGTGTGATCATTCTCTAAATAAATATGTTCACCCTCAACGCTGCGCCTTGGTCCTCCTCCTTAGACGATCGTGACAGTATCTCATCACATAATTATTCTTGCTTCTCAAACAAATTTGATAAAGTCTCATAAAGGTCTGAGGTATTGCATAATAAACCAAAGAAGAGATGGCCGAGGGCTGGAAAGGTCCAGAAGGTTGTACCCTGGTTGTCTGAGAGTGAAACATAATTTAAGCCGGAGCAATACTGGATTTCTGCTCCGATGGCCGCCCCACTAAGAAACAACTAATACCACTAGCTGGCTTTTAACTACAAGCTCTGCATTTAGTTTGAAAAATAAAACAGAGGTAATATACAGTATCTAAAACCTTCCCTTTGGATGAAGATGACTGAAGTCTGGCACTTTGAGGAAAAAGTGACGGCTACAGTTTACCCTGTTCACGGTCAAATTGAAGCTCTATCATCATCCAAACTTATTTGATTTCCTAACATTTGATACCGTGTTTTAACTGGTGACTGGACCTCTGGACATCCCACGCCAGGCCCCCCACCTAGCTGCTCTGTGTGAGACAACCTCTTACCTGCAGAGTTGTCTTGGGACTGGGTGTTGTGGCCTGGGGCAGAGGGGTACGGGTCATTGGGCTTAAAGGGGGCCTGGGACTGCTTGTGGGGCTCAGAGTCAAACAGAGGAGCGGCTTTCTTAGAGTTGCCCATAGGAGGCATGCCTGTCTGGAATGGAGCCATGCCCCCCATACCTCCTGAACCCATGTTCATATTCATCATCCCTGGCTGGGAGAAACCTGGGAGTGGAATTAAGACACCCAGGTTAATACTACATTTCATGTTATAACTACTCTATTACACAGGTTATTACTACTCTATTGTGCTATAAGACACAGTAATAAGCACTACATGCTGGTGTTACATAAACACTGTACAGTATTGCTAAGCAGTACCCATGAGAGAGTCTGGTATGTTGCTGTCCTTCATTCCTTTGTTCTGGTTCCCCCACTGATCACCAGGCATCCCCATCATACTAGACACTGGGCCTGGAGATGAAATAGGGGGAGAGAGAGAAAGAGAGAGGGGGGAGTGAGAGAAAGAGAGAGAGAGAGAGAGAGAGAGAGAGAGAGAGAGAGAGAGAGAGAGAGAGAGAGAGAGAGAGAGAGAGAGAGAGAGAGAATATCAGGGGATATCAGATGTCAGTTACCAATGACAGATGAGTACACCACAGACACAAATCAATAGCCAGGCTAAAACCCCCAAAGGAGATGGTAATCACATTCACAGTCACATAACTCAGTTAACTCTCAGTCAGCCATGAAATATTAATGTCCAGATGGTCAGAGAAGACAACAACAAGAAGACAACAACAACAGCCTCACTTTAACTAGGTGTCCTGCAACACTGTAATGCCCAGTTTACACTGCTAAGAGTGCCCAGGCTGTGCCAGGGATACTTGGAAAGGAAAGGGAAAGGGGGATACCTAGTCAGTTGTACAACTGAATGCATTCAACTGAAATGTGTCTTCTGTATTTAACCCAACCCCTCTGAATCAAGGGAGCTCTAGGTGCCTAGAAAGCTTAGTAGGCTATGCCACAGAGGGATCTTTAGCATCTTAGGCTATTGATGATGACAGAATCGAAAAACACTAATGGCAGTAAAATATGTTCAGATATAGAAACAGTGGAAACCTGTCCTTCCACAAAATGCCTTTTCACTGCCTTTTTGACTTGTTGAGCATGCATAAAACACTAGAGGAATAGAAACGGGGAAAAAGGACTCACCTGAAAGGTAGTCAGCATTGAAGGCAGACTGTTGTCCAGTTGGACAGGGACGTTTTTCTCCCATTGGTTCCTGCCACTGCATCCCCGTCCCCATCTGTCCTCCTGGCATCATACTGGAGCCTGCAATGAAGAGAGGCAAAAAACTGAACATCAACATCAGGAAATCTGAAAATCAAATGTCAAACACAGGACCATATGACCATGTCATGTGACCATGTTAGCCTAAAGCACCTAGCTCTGTTGCCCCCTGCCTTAAAGTTAAAGTGACACATTTGAGCAAAGGCGATGGCGCTTTGGGGGCCTTTGCACCCTGTCCGGAAATTAAAGGGGAAAGAAAGTTTCAAAAGTTTCACAGGTATGATATACTATCTTTGGTGGATACAGTATCACAAGTATCCACCAAAGACAGTATAGATAGGAATTCTAGTTCTAATCAGCCTCTCAGTCGGTCCGTCATTTTTCTCGGTGGGGGTACGCCATTTTGCCTGGGACCAGCTCCTGCTAGTGCAAACTGGTGTAGATCGCCTGTCTGGCGTCCTAGAAGAAAACTAAAAACGTCTACTTGGAAGTAGAGTCTACTCTCTATGTTTACATCAAACATTTTCAGTTTCATGACAGTAGTTTAAATTAATGGGAAACGTAATGGTAAGTTTCTCATTCCTCCACAGTTTGACTAGATAACATTACATGCTGCTGTTTACATCCTACATTTTTTGCCAGCTAGCTATGCAGTGGTTACACAAGAGACAGTTGTGAAGTGACAACAAGCATATCATTACTAGGAACAATCGGTATTGACAAAGTAAATGAAAAATACAGCCAGGCCTACATACTGCTAGCCAGCTAACTCAACCAGTCTGCCTAGCCTGCTTCATTAGCTAGCTAACTACCCTTGTATTGCTAAATTGGTGACTGACCAAACGGGCAAAATGACCCTCCTTGTTTCAATGTAGGCTACAGTGCCTTCCATAATAAGTATTTGAACACACCCACATAAAACAATACTATAGTATACTATGATATAAATACTATAGTATTCACTGTAGTGTTTTTGCAGACTTGACTGTAGTATTTACTGTAGTATACTGTAGTATTTACAGTTAACTATAGTATAAATACTGTAGTAAAAGAAAACTATAGTATATACTATAGTAATTAGTGTTTTTTGCTGATTGTAGTATACTGTAGTATTTACTGTAGTGTTTTTGCGGACTGCACTATACTGTAGTGTTTTTGCAGACATTACTGTGTTTGTGTTTTATTCTCTTTTACATAGAAGTGGAAACCTTCCAGAAGTGGAACATTTTCCATAACTTATTTTCTATAACCTGTAAGGAACACAATATATGGTCTATACCTGGCATGTAGGTTTCTCACATGGGTGGCACACATTGTGATATGGGGGAGGGGAATGGGCAGGGTATATGCAAATTAAATACTATAGTTTTTACTATAGTAAAATAAAAGGGTTGTGTTTTTGCGGACTGTAGTGTTTTTACGGACATTACTGTAGTATTTACTACAGTGTTGTTTTTGCGGATAATACTGTAGTATTTACTATAGTATTCTACAGTATACTATAACATTCTATAGTAAGTACTACACATGATCGAGGGATAATACAGTGTGTAGTATAGTATTCTACTGTATACTACAGTTTACTATAGAATTCTATAGTAAGTACTGTTGTATTCCATAGTAAACTGTAGTATTTTTTCATGTCGACAGTAAGATCAAAGTTGGGACTCCACCTCCAACACCTGACAAACTCCACCTCCAACACCTGACAAACACATTGAATACAGCCCACATGGTCTAAAGTGTCAGTTGATGTCTGGCCTAGACTAGGCTATACTGTAATGTGTCTCAGGGTGCTGTCCCTAAAAACAGCCCTCTCTAGAACATAGCAGAGGGGTGACAGTGACGAAAGGGGACAATACAGCACCGTGGGTCGTTACTACGGTTACGCAACCAACCAACCAGATGAAAGCATCTGAGGTTCCGGCGGCAACCCATCTGTGACATAAATGATTGACATCCTCAGCTCAAGCTTAAATTCCAGCCTAGGGGAACTCACTGTACTTTCTGGTGTTTAGTCCTGTAGGGCTCTGCTGCTTTACCAGCTACAGTGCCTTGCAAAAGTATTCATCCCCCTTGGCGTTTTTCATATATTGTTGCATTACAACCTGTAATTTAAATGGATTTTTATTTGGATTTCATGTAATGGACATACACAAAATAGTCCAAATTGGTGAAGTGAAATGAAAAAAATAAATTGTTTCAAAGAATTCAAAAAAATAAATAACGGAAAAGTGGTGTGTGCATATGTATTCACCACCTTTGCTATGAAGCCCCTAAATAAGATCTGGTGCAACCAATTACCTTCAGAATTCACATAATAAGTTAAATAAAGTCCACCTGTGTGCAATTTAAGTGTACCATGATCTGTCCCATGATCTCAGTATATAAACACCTGTTCTGAAAGGCCCCAGAGTCTGCAACACCACTAAGCAAGGGGCACCACCAAGCAAGCGGCACCATGAAGACCAAGGAGCTCTCCAAAAAGGTCAGGGATAAAGTTGTGGAGAAGTACAGATCAGGGTTGGGTTATAAAAAAATATCAAAAACTTTGAACATCCCACGGAGCACCATTAAATCCATTATTAAAAAATGGAAAGAATATGGCACCACAACAAACCTGCCAAGAGAGGGCCGTCCACCAAAACTCACGGACCAGGCAAGGAAGGCATTAATCAGACAGGACACAAAGACGCCAAAGATAACCCTGAAGGAGCTGCAAAGCTCCACAGCGGAGATTGGAGTATCTGTCCATAGGACCACTTTAAGCCGTACACTCCACAGAGCTGGGCTTTACAGAAGAGTGGCCAGAAAAAAGCCATTGCTTAAAGAAAAAAAATAAGCAAACACATTTGGTGTTCGCCAAAAGGCATGTGGAAGACTCCCCAAACATATGGAAGAAGGTACTCTGGTCAGATGAGACTAAAATGTAGATTTTTGGCCATCAAGGAAAACGCTATGTCTGGCGCAAACCCAACACCTCTCATCACCCCAAGAACACCATCCCCACAGTGAAGCATGGTGGTGGCAGCATCATGCTGTGGGGATGTTTTTCATCGGCAGGGACTGGGAAACTGGTCAGAATTGAAGGAATGATGGATGGCGCTAAATACAGGGACATTCTTGAGGGAAACCTGTTTCATCTTCCAGAGATTTGAGACAGGGACGGAGGTTCACCTTCCAGCAGGACAATGACCCTAAGCATACTGCTAAAGCAACACTTGAGTGGTTTAAGGGGAAACATTTAAATGTCTTGGAATGGCCTTGTCTAAGCCCAGACCTCAATCCAACTGAGAATCTGTGGTATGACTTAAAGATTGCTATACACCAGCAGAACCCATCCAACTTGAAGGAGCTGGAGCAGTTTTGCCAAAATGGCCAAAATCCCAGTGGCTAGATGTGCCAAGCTTATAGAGACATACCCCAAGAGACTTTCAGCTGTAATTGCTCCAAAAGGTGGCTCTACAAAGTATTGACTATGGGGGGGGTGAATAGTTATGCACGCTCAAGTTTTCTGTTTTTTTGTCTTATTGTTTGTTTCACAATAAAAAATATTTTGCATCTTCAAAGTGGTAGGCATGTTGTGTAAATGAAATGATGCAAACCCCCCAAAAATCCATTTTAATTCCAGGTTGGAAAAATGCCAAGGGGGGTGAATACTTTTGCAAGCCACTGTAGATCCAACCATTCAGCCCCCCCCCCCCCCCCCCCCCCCCTAGTGGATAGACCTTATGGTTCAAGAGAAAATAGCCTAATTAATGAAAAAAGCATCTAATCAATAAGGGAATTATTTTCTATTAACTCTGCAACTATTCCAACTATTGACTTTTCTTCATAACTGCCACCAGTTTGACGCCAAAACATTGACAACAAATACTTGACATAGTTAAATAAATAAAAGTGTGTGTAAAAAAAAATAGAAGATATTTAATTATGAAATCCTTATATTAAACACCAATGGTATTCACTAAGTGGATGGTTTATATTTAGGATAATATTTTACAGCTTTGTCATTCCATTTTTATTTGAAAACCATTTAATTATTTAATATATTTCATATATATGTGATAAGGCCACACAGAGGGTCAGAGATAATTACAGACACCTGTGATAATCTGAAGTACCCAAAGGGTCTTTCGATAGATTACATAAAATCCTTGAAAGATACCAATATTCTGGTAGTT